ATCTTTAATTAACTAGTTCAGGTTCAGGTAGCTATGTGGTTAAGGGGTACTAAGAACATCAAAACAGAGTTCAGCATGGGCTGAAAGATATGGTCAGCAAGCAGAGTAAATACCCTGCTTGTTAGCTCATAGTGAGCAGATTCTGTCAGCAACTGCGCTGGCTAGTTTAAAGGTTGCAGGGCTATGTCCACACTACAGTCACAACAACCTGCCACAAATGCAAAATAGTGTGTCTCTTGCTCTCTCTGGGCCTTGAGACCTTACCCTGTAAGATGAACAAATGTTAATCAGCTCAGTGGAGCAGTCACACGGTAAGGCAAAAAACCTGTTCTTCCTGCCCCTCACCTGCACAGCTGTGACTTGCCACTAGAGGCTTGGTGAGTAGGGGCACAGCTAGGAGCTAAGGCAGGGGTGGGCAAAATGCGGCCCGGGGGGCAGATGCGGCCCGCCAAGCCATTTTATCTGGCCTGCGGGGCCCCTAAAAAATTTAGAAAATTAATATTTAGCTGCCCCTGACTGCCTGTCGTGTGGCCCTCGATGGCTTGCCAAAACTCAGTAAGCGGCCCTCCGCCCGAAATAATTGCCCACCCCTGAGCTAAGGGAAGTACCATCTCGATGCTCCTGCTGGGCAGAGCAAGTACTACAGCTGCAGTGTCTCCCACCACCCCCCAGACTGGCTCTGCTCCCAGTCCAGCAAGCTAGTCTGGGGTCGGGGACTGCCTTCCCACTGCATCTCACACCAGCTCTGTTCCTGGCTTTATTCTTGGGAGCAGAGCCAGTGTGAGCAGCAGAGGGGAGGTGGTGCCCTCTCACCTGCTCCAACTGGTTCACTCTGCTCATAGCAAGACCATGTGCCCCAGCTTCCCTGCTCGCCCATTAGTTCCTGGGATGCTGGAAGACTTCAACTTGGATGGAAAAGCTGTGGAGAGTGGCCACAAGTTAATAGAACAGGAGCAAAATTAGGTGGATTAGAGTGAATACAACCCTGGAGTGGTATACTGTTAAGACAAGTGCTTTAAGGCACTTAAAGTGTGTTAATGAGCAGCCAGTCCAGGGGTTAAGAGCTCCAGAAGATGCCTAAAGTTACTCTGTAATAAGGCCTTGCATACACACATTCACTAATCTATTTCATGATGATTTTGGCAAGTTTTGTGTTAAATGGAAAGTAAGGCCCCTGTTAATTGTCACAACCCAGGGGTGTGATTTTGTTTGTGTGTGCTTCGGCACTGCTAAATTATTTCCCCCACGTGGCGGCTAGCGATTGGCTTGCTAGCCGTATAAGAGGCTTGGGCGGTTTCCGCCCAAGTTGGAGAACTCCAAGGAGAACCCCGCAAGGGAGGACTCCACAGCCATCTGGAGGAGGAGGGCTTCACGTCTTGTGAAGAACTCTAAGCGCTGCGGAGCCTAACGGACCCAGCGTGTACCTTAAGAAGGCTATAGGGGTCTGATCAATCTCTGGCCTCTCCCCGTCGCCGAACGATCCCTCGACGAACCCCTTCCCTGCTCGCAAGTTCCATGGAGCCTAGCAAACTCCGTGTGAGTGTATCCAGAGCTCTTTCTCCGAGTTGTTTTCTTCGGTTGACACAACGGGCTCGCATTTGTAGAGCCTTCAGCCGGGATGGGGCTAGAGTGCGCGTGGAAGGAACTCTTGTCCGCTTTTCTTCTTTCCTGTCTGTAACTGCAACTCAAGCAAGTTTTCCTGCCTGCACCGCGACCATCTACGGTGTAAGTAAAATAATCTTTAATCAACCGCTAAGCGTCCGTGCCTAATTCTAGTCCGCCGGCCTGCATTCCCTGACCCGCATGCCAGGGCTGCTGGCCACAGCCCGCCGCGCGCCCCCGAGGGCCTCGGACCGCTCCCGGCCCGCACATTAATGACATTCTATATTGCAGCTATAAAATGGAATAAGCCCTAGAGCACAAAGTTAAACTATTTTATACACTTAGTATATAAAACTTCACTGTCCAGGGAGCACTCCATCCATTATTCACCGTGTCTTTCTCAAAGAAGTGTTTAATATGGAGAGCTTTCTGCTGCAGCAACTACTGCTCAGCCCACAGGCTTTAACGGGGCCCAGGCTGCCTGGCCTACTTAAGAGTCACAGATTTGCTTTCCAGCCGTGAGAGAGGAGGATAATAGCCACAGCAAGGAGTAAAGCACAGATGATAGGAACAGAGCTCAGTGATGGTTTGTTGCCAGGAAAGCACCCAATGAACTTCTGGCATTTGCAAGTTTTCTTCAGTAGCTTGTGGTTTTCTCAAACTAGGTCACTATCTGAAGTAATCTACTAGACCCTTTCTGTGAATCTGTTTAACCTGTAACTCATTCACAAGCAGCTCAGTCTGAGCAGTTGGCATTTAGAACTCACTGTTGCAGGGTTTTATGCATACCCAAATCTTAGGTCTCACAGTATGTTCCTATCCCCTGCCTGGCTAAAATAACTCTCAGGCTCTACTTTCCAGTATGGATACAATCTTCTGAGATACAAGAGAGATGGCAATGCTTCCTATGCTGTGTCTCACTAGCAGGTGACACAAACCTCCCCCTTCCTAAAGAAGAGTTGGAGTGTTGTTGTAGCTGTGATGATTTAGAAAATATGCAGGAAACAATGGTTCTTTTGGAGATCTTTTATGGGACCAACTGTGTAGTTGGGAGAGATGTTAGACAAGCTTTCAGACACAAAGCTCTTCTTCATGCCTGAATGTTTGTTTAGCATCTATACAGTTGGTCCACTGAAGACATCACAAAAAAAATCCATTGCTTCCTAAATAAGGGCACTTGCAGCTATAAAAGAGCAACATGTAAGTGCCATAGGGAATTGATCATTCATCTTCCGGTGCCTGCAAGAATTACAGTTGCAAAAGCCTGGAAAAGAAGTGACACCTTTAAAATCAGTGACTGGTTTCAAATTTTTTGGGAAGTTTTGGTAATGGAAAAGCTGTCCTATCAAATCAGTGTTCTACAGATGAGATGTGGAAATCTGGTAGAAATGTTTGGAATTTGCTAAAAAGAATCTTTTCCTTCCCCAACCCAGAAAGTTTGAGACATTTTTTGAATGCAGAAGCTCAAGCTATATGAGCTAACACTTGGGAATGTATTTGAGGTTTGTGGGTAGAGATTAGTGGTGGATACTGGAATTTTGATTTTGTGGAGTTCTGGAGAGGAAGGAGTGAATTAGTATATAGAGATGGAGAAACACAAATGTTAACATCAGTGGAGGCACTGAGGAGCTGTTAAGGGACTGGGAGGAGGGGAAAAGAGCACAAAACTTCTGTGGACATAGATTTGGGTTGTGGTAGTACTATTTGGTGGGAGACCGGTATAAGTCTGTGCATGTTTTAGGGGACTGGGTGTGTTTTTTGAATGTTGGATCTGTTATTTTATAAGCTGGGTTCATTAATATATAAAGTTAAATAAAAAATAAAAGATCCTCTCACTTTCTCTGTCTCTCCAACTGTGCCTATAGTGCAATGGCAGCATGCTCTGGCTGAGATGATTCCAAGCCTACCTTCTCCCCTTCACATGCTCCAACCCCAGATAGACACTGGTGAGGCTGCTACAAGCTGCTCTAAGGATGGTCACAGAGGGGCAAGTCACAGTGGCCTCAACAGGATATTTCTGGATTTGGTGCATCACAGCAGGAGCAGGTGGGTAGGTATGGGACATGCTGTTGCCATAGTGCTCATCCCCACACACACATACAGCAATATTACCTTTGAAAACTGCTGCAGGAATCCTGTAAGAATAAAAATCCAAACAAGTCTCTCCAGCATCCACAGGCCAGCAGCACCTTTGGGCCAAAATGCATGAAGTCCCTGCCCTGCCTGCTCTACCACCCAGACTGCTCATGTGCTTTCTGACCATGTGTGTACAGGTTCATGCTGTGACTTTTGCCTGCCATAGCAGGGGACTGGACTGGATGATCCCCTTCAGACACTTCAGAAATAGACATTTCATCCTAACAAGAATGTCTGTTGCCCACAGGTTGTGACAGAGAGCACACTTTGCCATGTCCTAGAGGTACTGCCAGCTCATTGTAACTAATGTTTCCAATTCTGACACCAATTCTGTGGCCACCTAGGTTTTAACCACTGTTCCTATGTTGTACACATACCACAGCCTCATCCTGAAGACAGAAATGACAGAACTAATATCTTTAGCCTCATAAAAACACCACACAGACTCAGAACCTTCTCTGGCTGTTGGCATTTCATGGCCTATGAAACACTGGAAACAAGTCTGAATGTCACCCAGCAGAGGGCAATGGTGCATGTACCTATACACACCAATCAATTATTGGTAATATGACCAACTCTCAGAGGCATGGACAGACATTTCCACCAAGAAGTCAAGGTTCCAGTGCTCATTACATGCAAACATGTAGGCTCCATCACACCAAAGTACTCTATACTCCCCATATCAGGACTGTCCAACATATAAGCCCCTGGGGGCCACATGCCCCAGGGGTAGCACCAACAGGGGCCACACATGGTATGTGCAGCACAAGGCAAGCCATGTAGGACACTCCCTCCACCCCCCAGCTGCACTGCATGCACATGCAGGCCCCAGCCCACTGCTGCACCTGGCATCCCAACCCCCCACCGAATAGTGTGGGCACATGAGTGCAATTCCCACCCTACCCCCACTGGAATGTGTGGGGATGTGAGCATGAGTCACTTTGGCCCCTTGTGGGCACCCCCTCTTCTACTGCACAGTGTGCCCCCTATCATTGCACCACATGGGCTCAGTCCCCCATACATGACCCTGTTTCCCTCCCCCCTGCCCCTACACATGGCCCCATACTCACCCTCAGCTCACAGGATGGCCCCTTCTGCTGGGGTGGAGGCAGGAAGCAGCAGCCAGAGAAGGAAGGGAGAGCTGGAGTAATGTGAGGAGTGGTGCCCAGGCAGGAGCCTGGGGAGTAACCCCTCATGGGCCACCACTTAGACAGCCCCACCTCATACTGTAAATGCAGAGCTCTGTACTGTCACATCCTTACCAGTTTGGTTTTATCCATAGCAGTGAGGACAGCTGTGTTCAGTGTTTCCAAAGCAGAAAGCACATTCCTGTATTCTCCAAGGTATGTTGAGAAATAATCTGAATGAGAGAGGAGACCACAGTTAGATTCCAAAGCAGTTCCTTCTAACTCTGCTTACCTGCCCACTATTCCCTAAGAAAACTTTACTTTGCTCCTTGGCCCTGCCCAGCAATGAATGTCAGGCTCTGTTGCTACCTAGTAGCCATTGGCAGTGCCAGACATAATGACATCCTGATTTGCTCTTAGCTACTATTCCTGTCAGTCTCTCTGAAGTCAGTAAAATAACTCTAGATTTGCGCAAATGAAAAAGAACACAATTTCTTTTCCAAGGGACAAAATGTCCCATCCAAGGGAAAAAAGCCACGCGCTTCAGTTTACAGTTTTTAGGATACCATCCTCTTACACACTGGAACTGTCAGGCTGGATTCAGCCCAAGCCCAGTAAGCCATTTCTGACAGTGGCCTGTGCCCAATGTTTCAGCAGAAGGTGCATAAAAACCTGTAGTGGACAGTTGTGAAATAATCTGTCGAGACTAATTCTTGTTAGCAGCATGGAGTCATTGGCCTACTTACCACACAACTTCTCCGTTTCTAAATTGCTGCAAGAAAAAAAAACCTCTCGTTAGATGATCAGTCTGGTCTCAAGAGAAACAGCTGCTGAGAACAGCGTTCTGGGAATGGCTGAACTCTTTAGTTCAAATATTGCTCATCAGTATGTCTTTAAAAGTGCTATTAAAAACGCGTCACACAAATTTTCAAAGGGGCATCAATCTGAGAAAGTTTCAGCAGCTGCAACTCCAAGCCATCTTAATGGGAGCAACAGCTGTTCTGGAGCAGAGGGTCAGGTAGCAATGTTAAACCTGTCTTGGTTTTTGTCTTGTTTTTACAAATTATCCCATAATTCTGATTCTCTTGGTAACATTTTCAATGATAAACAAGAGATACAAGGGACTACGGAGATCATGGGTATTTGTAGTCTGTTTCAAACCAGTAGGGCTAGTAGTCTGTTCAGTAATATGGAAACACTCCTTGGAATTCATTTTTAAAGTAGGGTTCACCCAGAAGGAACTATAAGTTAAAAAGGCTTTTAGAAGCTCTGGCTTTCGAACTTCTTACCACCAACCCAGCCTTGCCGGCTCCCAACAAATTGGCCTCAGGCTCTTCCCATGTGCTGGAGACCACATTCATCCCTATCAGTCACTAGTGGAACACTGGGATACTGCAGTTGATCCAGGGGCAATGGCCTTCGTCCTGACACAAAGGGGCCAAGAGAGAGGAGCTGATTTCTAGGCACACCATTTATGCAAGTGTGGAAACCTCAATCAAAACCGAAACATGAGAGTTGTCTTGTGTACCCAGAAAGGGTAAGGGCAGAATGGCAGGGTGGTCCCATCCCAGGGAGAGCAGTGCTTTAGACACCATTCAGTCTCTCTAAAGTATGTGCTCAGGTGACATTTGGCTCCTTGCCCCTTTCTTAAAGGGTGAAACATGGTATCCATCTGCTTATGGACTGGATCTTCATCTGGCACAACACTTTACAGCCATGCTACTGTGGCTCACCCAAGTGTTTGGCACCTGTAAGCACCCTGTGACCAGTGAG